TGGCCTTCCCCTGGGCATCCAGAGCAGACATCCTGCAAAGCTCAGCTCACCTGTTTCCCAGCCAAAGCATTCAGCATGCTCCTCTAGTTTTTGAAACACCGTTGATAAATTCCTCTTACATTGCTTCCCAGGCTGCGCCTCAGCCACAGGGATGTAAGATCCTGACATGTTTGTGTGGCTTTGAGGAAGGGAAGAAGTAGAGAAGAAACAAAACATCTCTCCCTTCTTTCATTTAAACTAGAGGAGAAAGGATTGGCGAGCCAGCAAAAAGCAGATGAGCAGGATTATAATGAGGGAAAACAAGAGGCTAGCCGAGCCCACAAGCCCCCACTAGACAGACACTTCAGCCTCCTGAGCCTCAAGCTCCCCTGGACAGGCAGGAGGAGTCTCTGCCTTCTGGGATGTGCTAGGTAAAAAAATCAATAGAGGACTCTCCTCAGCCGACAATTTCCCCAAGGTGTTACTCGGTTTATTAGCGGGGTCTCCTGAACTGCTGGAGTTCCCCCAGGAACCAGAGACCTCATTAGTAAACACGTGTTGAGTGGCCACGGCATGTGCTTCCCTGCCAGTGCCGGCAGTATAAAATGAGCTTAGATATCATGTATTCCCTTGGGGAGAAGGCAAACCTTCTATCAAGGACACAGGGGCCCTTATGCTGTGTGCTATGAGGATGTCCTAACGGAGGAGTCGGTGACGGTTGCAGCAGAAGCACAGAGGAGAGAGTGCCCAGCCCAGGTCTCTAGAGGGGAGGGTGCAGGGGGCCATTACCTGACTTCTGCAAAAGCGGTCAGATAAAAGGAAGGAGAGAGGAACTTAGGAGTGTGAGGGCCATTCCAAGTGTTTCAACAGAGTGTGCAAAGGCACCTGGAATAGTATGGGATAGGGCAGGGAGATGGCAGGAAGATCTCTGGGAAGGTGAGTAAGCCAGCTTGGGACACTGCCTGCATGACTTGGTAAAGAACTTGAAGTTTATGGTACAGGCAGGCAATGGGCCCACAAAAGGTATTTTTGGAAGGTTATTCTCTGAAAGCAGAAAGATCCATCAGAAGGGTCTGGGTTAGGGCAGTAGCAGAGGGGATGCAAGGAGGGAATGACTTAAAGGGATGTTTATGAATTGGAATTGACAAGATATGGTGAACAAATACACATAAAGAGTGAAGGAGAAGGAAGAGGCAAGGGTGATCCAAGTTTTGGGCCAAGGCAACCTCTGCTTGCTTAGTGTCTAGTTTGTGCTGGGCACTGTGCTAGTCATTGTACGACACTATTTCACTTAGCTTTGCAACAGCTGTTGAGGTTGGTATCCTGTCCTCATTTCAGATGATGAGTCCAGGGTCTCCGGGGCCTTCCGGAGCTCCCCCAAGTTCACACAGCTACAAAGTAGTGGGAGGAGACTCTGAGTTCAGATTGTTCTTTTAACTATACCAGTTGAGGACATGTTGAGGTCTGAGATGCTGTGCAGACACAGACATGCAGGAGGCCACAGTGAGCATGCTTCCAATGCTCCTGGGGAGGACTGGCCTGCAGGTAGAGGGGTTAAGATGCCAGGGCAGGAGATACTTAAGGCTGTGAATAGATGAGATTTCCGCAGGAATGCTCCTAGAAAGAGAAGAGAACCCTGAGGAAGCTTCACGGAAGATGAATCCACAAAGGAACCTGAGAAGGAGCATTCAGCGAGACAGGAGGAAAGTCAGGGAGGAATAGTTAGAAAACAGAAGAGGAGAGGACTTTAGAAAGACCAGAGAGACTGGGCACAGTGGCTCACACCTGTAATCCCAGCACTTTGGGAGGCCAAGGCAGGAGGATTGCTTGAGCTCAGGAGTTTGAGACTAGCCTCATCAACATAGCAAAACTGTTTCTACAAAAAAAAAAAAAAAAAAATTAAAAATTAGCTGGGAGTAATGGCACGTGCCTGTGGTCCTAGCTACTTGGGAGGCTGAGGTGGGAGGATCATTTGAACCCAGGTGTTGAGGCTGCAGTGAGCCATATTTACATCACCACACTCTAGCCTGGGTGACAGAGGGAGACTCTGTCTCAAACAAACAAAAAAGACCAGAGAGGCCAACCTTGTCAAATGTTACACAGATGTCAAGGATGATATCTGAGAAGTATCTGCTGCTTTGCTGGTTACACTTTTTATGCTGCCAACCTTCAGAATTCGGAATTGACCTTGGTTATCCCCTCCTCCTCCTCTCCCAGATAACTGTCCCTGAGACTGGATTTGACAGTGTTCAGCACAACCAGCTCCCACGTATGTTTGTGGGATTCTTCATTTAACATCTGTACATACACACACACCAGACCACAAACTCCCAGGGGGCAAGGATGACGTTTTGTTCATCACTAGTTCCCCGGCACCTGGCACCATGCCTGGCACAACATAAGCACTCAATAAATATAATTTATTCACCAATTCACTCACTAAATTGGCGAATGACTGTCTGAAGCCAGCACTCTACTCTGCCTCAATTGTTTCTAAGCACTGCTCTGTTTCCTCCCTGCTCTCAACAAAGTCAAGGGCGATGAGCACATGCTGTCTCTGGGCACCCGGTGATTAGTGGGCAGAGCTGCCGCAGCAGCGTTGCTGAAATGGTCTCAGAGGCTGCCTCTGACCTTGAGCCACCTTTCTTTGTGCTTGGCTAAGCACTGAGTCATTTACTTGTTTTTGCTGCCTTTCAAGTCTGGAGCAGTGGGTTTAGCACAAAGGAAGCCATGATGGTTGTTTTGTTTACAGGGAATCGACTTCCCTTAAATAATGATTCAATGGGTAGTCTGCACTGCATGGTGGCGTGGTGACAGGGCTGTGGCGGAACATGGCAGAAGGCTTCCAGAGTCAACACCAGGCTCTCTGAGCCTTTGAAAAAATGTTTTTCTTATAAACACTGGCCATGTAGCCCTAGGCAAATCATTCGTGTTGTCACTTAACATGTGCTATTTCTGGGCATCTTTCCTCACCTTAAAAATGTGACGATGGCCTCAGTTCCCCTCCAATGCCACTGTGGGTAAGTCACTACTGCTGTAGAGGGTAGGGTTAGGGAGAGGTACCTAGAAGCACAGATTGCTTCCCGGACAATGACAGCCTCCCAGAGGAGGCTGTCCCTGGAGGAGGGCTCCGTACTATCCTGCACAGGGCATCTTGGTCAGGATCCCTCATGTTCTGGTGTCACTGACTGGGAAGCTAAGACAGAGGTTTGGAGCACAGATTTCGGGGCTCTACAGATGTGGGTGCAGTTTCCTCCATTGGGTGCCTGACCAAGGGCAAGTCCCAGAATTGCCCTGAGCCTCGGTCTCCTCATCGGTACAATGGAAGCTTCCTTACCCAAAGGGGTCTCATGATGATTACAGGAGATAATATAGGGAAAGTGCTTAACGGAGGGCCTGGCACAGAATGAGAGCATGGTAAATGCTAGCTATTATAAAAAGAAATATTACTTATTACTTAGATCCATTCATCATGAATGTCCCCCCAAAATAAAGAGATTGTACAGACCCTGAAGATTTTTACAAAGCTTCTAGTTGTAGAGATGAGGCAACTGAGACATTGAGGGAGAGGAAGGACTGGCCCTAAGACCCACAGGCAGGAATACGGCCAGCAGCCAGGTGTCCCAACTCCTCTGTGGGCTGGATCCCGATGCTCCAATCCCCAGCTCCTACGAGGGCCCTGGCTGGGGAAGATTCCAATTTGCAGCACCCTCGGCTGTGGGAATCCTGATGTCTGTGTCACCAGGGAGCCTCCCCCAAACACTGCCCATCTGGAACATAAGTAGTACCCAGAGGGCTTCCAGTAGAGGGCTCTGTCCACAACAGGCACTCAGTAAAGCCCCAGGCGTGACTTGACCCAGGTCACATATTTGCTCTGGGCCTGCTTCCTTAAGTGAAACACAATGGTCTTTTAAGAACCTTCTAGTTTTTATATGCCATGGTTTCAAGAACTGGGTTCAATTAACCATGTAGTGGCTAGAAATCTCAGTTAACTGGAATCTTTCCCAGAAATTCCCTCCCTGGGAGAAATAGGCAGAGCTCAAGAAAGTTAATAACCATCCACTGTCCTTTGCAGTTCTTCCTGGTTTAGCAGGTGTTTGGGCTCATTTCATCCCCTTGGCTAAACAGACTGAGGCTCGGAGCCACCTGAGGTTTTCCCAACCAGGACCAGAGCTCAGAATGCAGGTGAGAGTCAGCATTGAGAACAGTGTTGTGTACAGGGCACAGGCTCCACAACAACCCACCACAGGAAGCACAAGCCAAGACACAAAGGTTTGGCCAAGAATGGAGCCCTGGATCAGGAGCCTGGAAGCCTGGGGTAAAGCCTGCGCTCTCCTCATCCCTGACTGGCTCAGCCAAGGGGCCTGTCAAATGAGGTGACTGGATAGCAGATGCCACTCCCTGCTATATTCTCACAGCTCCTAACCCTCCCAGAGCACCCAGCACGTGAGACTGGGCCTATAGTCTCTGGGCCCTGCATCCCCAGAAGATACAGATAATGCCTTTGTTTATCCTCATGTCTTCCTAAGTCCCACCACAGACCAAAGCAGAATAGGCTTTCCAGAAATGTTTAAGGGGAGGAAGAAAAGAGGAAGTGAGGGAGGTAGAAAGGAAGGAGGGAGGGAGACAGGTAGCCAGGCAGGTGGGCTGAAGTCCTCCTCCCAGCACTCACATCCTATGGTTCCACAAAGCTAAGTTCTAAGGCAGTTCACCAAGTGTCTCTTAGACACCGTCCCATTTATGGTGGAAACACCATAGGGAGAAGCAAAGGGAATTAATTTCAGGTGTGAAATGACATGTGAACCCCTCTCTGCCTAAGCCCGACTGACTGCCCCAAGCCCAGGCTTGGCTGTGAGAAGTCCCGTCTTCCCAGCAGAAGCCTCAGTGATGCTGGTGTCGGAGGCCACAACTCGCTTCTCTCTGCTAAGCTCACCACCTGACATGTCAGTGCTTTCCAGCCCAGAGCCTATGGTTCCGACTGAGGAACACGATACAGCAGGATTCTGCAGGATTCAGAGACATGAGAAGAAGAGGTCTTTATAAATAACTCCTGGTTTAAATGGAGCTGAAAATAGGGAGACAGAAGAGGAAGTCAATCGCTAAGCACTTATTGAGTCAATAACATTGGCTTGGAAGCCATAGTGCAAGTGGCTGGTTTGGTTTATTTCCTTCTCATCAAAAGAACTAACGTAGGATTGAACCTGGGGGCACCAAGACTGCGTGTGTGTCCGAGGATGTGTCTGAAAGGATGTGGTGCTTCTCAGGTGATGTCTCAACCAAGACATAACCCAGGCCTTGCGTTAGATCTCTGTGTGTCATGGAAGAACGTGTCGGGTGGTGTGGCTTGGCTGTTAAGTCCCTGGACCTCTTGAGATCACTTTCTTCACTGGAAGGTCTAGTCACTGGGTTGGCCTCTAAGCTCTGAGATTTAGATAGCAATTCATAGCTGAGTCCTCGATATAAAACTCAGGAACCAAAAGTGTGAATAAAATCTTCACTGTGCTCAAGTGTCCTGTGAAGTGTCCTGTCTCTGCCCTTGATTCCATTCTCTGTAGGGCCTTCCTTTAGCTGCAATAAGGGTCTGCAGTTTGTGCTCTCTCTTGGATGACAAAATTGGGTGGAAATGTGCTTTATTCACTTGCAGTCCCCAGGGCCCCTGATCTTGGGGTGTGGTCCAGCAGCATGCTAGCCGGAGCAGGTGGAGGCACTGGGCAGATGCACCGGTGGGGGCCAGGCCAGGAGGCTCAGCACAGAGCTGATTCTGCCCCGGTTCCCAAACCTGCCTCCCCACCCCAGTATCCAAGTACAGAACTGAACTACGGAGGGAGAGGCAGTCTGAACGCCAGGTCCCCACGCTGCGCGGTTCAGGACTCCCAGTTCAACCGGTAGGGACAGCAGGAGAGAATGCACCGCTTGCCGGACAGCCTGGTGAGCCGCCATCAGCAGCAGCTGCAGGTGCCCGTGTGCACGCGGAGGATGCCTCGGCTGTGCAAGTGCAGGAAGTTGAAGATCTCGGAGGGCATGGCGTGGAAGCCGGGACGCGGCTTGACGTTGTCATAGTAGTGGTGAGTGATGTAGAGGCCCGAGGGGTTCATGGGGAAGGCCCAGAAGCCGAAGAGGTGCACCTCCTCACAGAGCTCCAGCGCCGCAGTGGCCAGAATGAGGCCAGTGCTGATGCGCTTGGCTCGCACGCCCAGGCTGAGCCAGTAGCGCGACACGTTGACCAGGTACTGTGGGTGGAAGTAGTAGACAGCCTGCGGCGACTCGAAGTCGTCCAGCACGTACTTGACGCGGATGGACACGTCGGTGTTGCGCGTGTTGTAGAAGGCGGGCAGCAGCACCGACGCATTCTCATACACCTGCAGCACGCGGTAGAACGGCCGCCGCCACTTCTCCAGCTTGTGGAACCTGCGCAGGGCGGAGTGAGAGGTGAGCGCCCACTCCTCTGTGCCCCGACGCCCCTCGCTTCCCCACCCCTTGCACCCTGGGGCTTTACAAAGGACGGAAGGGACTTATCAGGCCACCTGCCTCCTGACACCTCACGCACCTGTGCAGATGAAGATGAGACCTCTCTCATGGGCAGCTGAGTTTCTGTAAGTGGGTGCAGGAGAGGGCAGTTGGGATCCAAAGGGACAGATATCCAGGGTGTGGCTGCAGGGGGCAGGGCAATGCTGAACCCAAAAGGATGAGGGTGGCCCAAGGGAGGCTCATCAGGGAAGTGGTTGCCGGAGTGGAGGCTTGCTCTAGAGGCCTCACTCCATTCACCTGTACTGTCATCCTCAAGATCCCCAGGAACGAATCCCATATGCGGCTGCCTGTCCTGGCTCAGAAGCTTCTTCTCCTGCAGCCTCCGTTTCTCTCTCACACACTAGTGTGTTGTTTTTAGACACAGGGTCTTGCTCTGTCATGCAGGCTGGAGTGCAGTGGTGCAATCATAGCTCATTGCAGCCTCGAAATCCTGGGCTCAAACAATCCCCCCACCTCAGCCTCCTGAGTAGCTGAGACTACAGGTGTGCATCACAATACTTGGCTATTTTTTTTTTATTTTAATTTTTTGTAGAGACCAGGGACTTGCGATGTTGCCCAAGCTAGTCTCCAACTCCTGGCCGCAAGCCACACTCCGGCCTCAGCCTCCCAAAGCGCTGTGGTTATAGGCATGAGACACCATGCCTGGCCCCATTTCTTTACATTAAGCAGCCTCCCCTCTTGGGCCCTCTCTCTCGTCTCTGAGCACTCCTTCACTCGGTGACTTTTCTGTCTCTTCTCGCCCCTTAATAGCTGTTCCCTGGGCATCTGATCCAATTCAATGACCCCCTCCTCTCATCTCCCACTGTCCCCTCCTCTTACATGTCCTCTGACCTGGTTGGTGTGACTATGCCCAGGGCTAGGGTTTCAACAATTCCCCTAAAACCGTCCAGATGAACCCCATAGAGCTCCAGTGCCGCGGTGGCCACAGTGAGGCCAGTGCTGATGTGCTTGGTTCACACCCCCAGGCTGAGCCAGTAGCGCGACACACTGACCAGGTACTGCGGGTGGAAGTCGTAGACAGCTTGGGTGACTCAAAGTCATCCAGCACGTACTTGACACGGATGGACACATCCGTGTTGCGCGTGTTGTAGAAGGTGGGCAGCAGCATCGATGCATTCTCGCACACCTGCAGCATGCAGTTCCTCTGTGAAAGTTCATCCGGAAGGTTTTAGGGGAAGTGTTGAAACCCTAGCCCTGGACACCAACCAAGTCAGAGGACATATAAGAGGAGGGGACAGTGGGAGATGAGAGGAGGGGAGCCAGGAGGGGAGCTGAGATCTCAGTGTGAGCTTCTCCCCAGTACCACCTGGACACAGCCAGGTAGGGAGCTGCCTGCCCTGGTCACACCCTGGAAAGCTCTCCCGCCCATCTCTAGGTGAAGGTGGTGTAGACCAGCACTGTCCAAAAGAAATAATGCAGGCCACATATGGAATTTAACCATGTCCGAGTAAGCACATGTGAAAAAATAGAAATGGGTGAAGTTTTTGTATTTTCTTTAACCCACTATTTCAAAAATACTATTACTTCAACATGTAATTAATATAACAAGTTAATTAGACGTTATCCTGCTTTTGTATTAAGTCTTTGAAACCCAGTGTGTGTTTTACACTCACAGCCAGCACATCTCCATCTGGACTAGCCACACTTCCAGTGCCCAGTAGCTGCATGTGACTACTGGCTAACATTTTGGACAGTGCAGCTCTAGAAAGAGGGCCACTGACCTCTCTGTGATGATGCTGGGGTTCACAGTGACCACATCCGTCTTCACCCCCACGTCCATGGTATACTTCTCTGAGATGGGGGGCAGGTTGCACCTGCAGAAGAGAAGAGGCAGCCCAAGGTGGTCAGTCATTCAATAGGTCAGGCTGGGGAAGGCGCAAGGGGAGGGGAGGGATGGTGATCATGTGGGCAGAGGGATGCAACAGCAACCAGCTAGGCAGGTTCTCTGTGGCCAGGTGGTAAGACAGTCGTTCTTCTGCTCCTTATCAGGCACTGGGACAGCCAACAGGCCTTGCTGAAGTTCCAGACACATGGGGCAGATAAACCACCAGATGTAAAATGCAGTTACAAGCTTGGATAGTCCCTGGACCTCTGGAGGATGGGATTATGGCTTTCAGAGGACAGGTGGCAGGGGAGCATCTCCTTTTCTAGAGAGCCAAGGCTTCCCTGAGGAAGCAATGCTTGAGCTGAGGTCTGAAGGAGGAAGTGAGCAAAAGTCCTGTGGCAGGAGAAAGGCTAAATAAACATGGGATATATTCAAAGATGCATCTTAGAAATGCAACACATATTGCATGCAAAAGCAAGTCACCACCATTTGTAGAAAGCCCCATAGTAGGAAGAGTAATAGCCCCCAAAGGTGTCCACGTCCTAATCCCTGGAACCTGTGACTATGCAGCCTTATGTGGCAGAAGGGACTCTGCAGCTGCAATTAAGTTTAGGATCTTGAGATGGAGTCATTGCCCTGAGTTATCTGGGGGAGTCCAGTGTCATCACAAGTGTATTTATAAGAGGTGATATGACAACCAGGGAGAAGAAGAAAATACGTGGCAACAGAATTGGAGTCAAAGAAAGAGACTGGAAGATACTCCACTGTGGGCTCTGCCATGAGCCAAGGACTACAAGGAGCTTCTAGGAGCTGAAAAAGGAAACGAATTCTCCCTGAGAGCCCCCAGAAGGGAATGCAGTTCTGCAGACACCTTGATTTTAGTCCAGTGAGACTTCTGACCTCCAAGACTGTAAGATAATAAAATCTGTGTTGTTTAAACCACTAATTTGGTAGTATTTTTTTTATAGCAGCAATAGGAAACGAATACAGCCCCAAACAAACATAGTTTAACAATACATTGTCAGGGGTACATCTACATATGACAAAACAATTTTTAACAATGAGAGAATGATTAAGTACTCAATTCAGGGTAGCGACACCTCTTGGGGGAAACAGAGGTAGAATGGGAAGGAGCACATCAGTTGATACAAAGGCTCGATACAAACATTCAACTTCTTAAATCAAGTGGTTGTTCTACAAATATTCATTTTATTGTTTTGCTTCATACTTAGGTGGTGCAAACATTCTTCATATCAAATACTACATAATGAATGGATGAATAATAAATTTTGAAATAAGCAGGTGTTAGCTGGGTGAACGTGGAACTCATGAGCATTCCAGACACAGGTCCTGTGCAAAGGTCCTGTGGTAGATGAGAACATGAAGCACCCAGGAGTGACTGTGGCCTGGTGACTGGAGCACAGGCAAGGTGGGAATGGTACAAGCTGAGGGCAGAGAGGGAAGAAGGGGCCAGACTATAAGGGACGGTGGGCCATGTGAAGAATGTGGCCCTTCGTCAAGGGAAAGCCATGGGTTTAAGGAATAACTGTGCAGAAGAACCCTCTATAACAGGACTATGACTTTCACCTACTTTATGATCCAACCACACCCCTGTCTATCAGACCACTATGAAAGGCAGGTTTTATATTATCGTTAAAGATTGAGCGGGGGAGTCGGGGGTGTCTACAGTCAATTGCCATTTTTTTTGAGCATCTGTGGCATGCCAGGAACTTTCACAGGATTATATGAGCCATCAATAACCTCGGGTGGCAGATATTAGGCTCCCTGTGTTGCAAATGAGAAACTAGGCATTCAGAGGGTCAAGGCAGGGCGGAGGACGGGCCTGACTCCAAGCCCAGGTCTCGTTCCCAGTACAATGGCATCTAGTGTGGACATGCCTAGAACAGGATGGAGTCTCAGGGCATCTTGGCATGCACATACAAGCACCCAGCAAGGCTTTGCTGCTGCCGCACTGCTCTGATGATGATGACGATGAGAACGGAAGGGCACACAGCATTTCCAGAACTAGCAAACACAGCTGTGTGCTCTCACAGATCTTAACAGATCTTAGGTGGTGGGACAAGAGACTAGCCCCTTTGAGGGAGACGCTTACTGTCATATGATCAAGCTAGGGAAATGATGTGATATCACAGAAAGAATGCAAGACCAGAACTATATCCCATTTCTGACTATGACTAGCCCCCATGACCCTAGCAAGGAATATCATCCCCTCCCAAAAAATTGTTTTTCATCTGTAAAATGAGAGGAATATTTTAAAATAACATTTTCATTATAATAAAACTTAGTATGTGTCCCGCATTGTTTGAAGATTTTAAACATTAATTCATTTATTCCTCATACTGACCCCAACGGGTAGGTACTATTATCATCCTCATCTTTCATTTTAGGAGATAAAGGTGTAGTGGCTAGGTAACTTATGCAAAGTAACACAGCTTTTTCTAACTCAAACCAGGCTCCCCAGCTTCAGAGCCTGTGGACAGAACCACTATACGCTCCACTTCTGGGCCCTGAAAATCACTTAAGTCCATTCTTTCATTCACGCCTTCATTCCTTCATTGAAGACTCATTTTTCTGAGTAGTTATGTTGTGCCAATTATATCAGTTACTGTAAACAGAAGTTCTCTGTGTGTTTCCAATCTGCAAGAGTGAGACCACTTAGCGGGTCCCTGGTTATAGGGCTGGGTGTTAAAGGCCACATGAGAGCTGGACACCAGGTTCCGTGGGAGCCCAGAAAAGAGTGCAAGTGGGTTTAGCCAGGGAAGGAGTGGGTGATTCTTGAGCTAAGCTTGGAAGGACAAGTGGCAGTTGGCAAAGCAGGATGCAGGGGCTGGGGAGACAGCATTCCAGCCAGAGGGAACAGGACCTGGGGGGCAGTTGCTGGCATTAACTGGGCTCTAATGGTGTGTCCAGTGCTGGAGGTACTAAGAGTTATACAATCATTATGTCATTTAATCCCAAAACTGGTGGAGCTGCTATCCTTACCCCCATTTTGCAGATGAGGAAAACAAGGCCCAGAAGGATGACATGACATTCCTGAGGTCATATGCCTAGCAATGCTGGAGCCTGGATCAAAGTTCAGGGAGACCCCATAGACCTTGGCTTCTCCTCAAAAGACCATCTTGAAAGAGGCTTTCCCTGCCTCCCCTGGCAGGAATGTGGCTGGGCTAAGGATTCAGTGAGGGCCAGAGATTTCGGTGTTGGAGGAAGCTTAACCTTCAAAGCTGGACTCGACTAGGCATCCACAGGGAGCACGTGGGCAGACTCCAGATCACAGAGAGGTGTGTCTCTCACACTCCGTCTGCGACAGCAGGTGACGCAGGGTGCCCAAGTCTTCCTTCTTCTAGAGATAGAGGCTGGGGTTGGACATCCAAGAACCCAAAATATGCAGAAGTCCCTTTATTTTAGGACCTCAAATCACACCAAACCTGCTCTACCCTCCCCAACCTGACACGTAATGAGTGGCCCGATGATTGTGGATCCATGCTTCCTGCGACCCCACTGCAGACTCAACCCAAGTCTGTTTGCTTTAAGCTCTTATTTTCAACCCACCTTCTTCACCCAGGCTAAAGATATACATGAAGATTCACTAAGAGATAAGAGTGGGGCTTTATGTAAGGAAGAAGTGCAAGGACCAGTCTCTGGCTTAGTTGAAGCCAATATTGGTGTCTGCCACAAGGGTGCCCTGGTTCCACCAGTGCTTCTGGAAGGGTAGCACCCACCCAAGATGATGGCGCCCAGACGACCTCCCGACACAGCTGCAAGCTCCTGAGTCCTCAGTGCCTTCAAATCTGTGATGCCCTTTGCTCTTAACATAGCTCCCATTGTGCAGATGTGGACACTGAGGACCTGGGAGTTTAACGACTTCCCCAAAGGGTTGGGGCTGGAGAGAAGAAGGGATATCCCAGACCTGAGGGTCTGCAGGGGTGGGGAGTGGGGATTACTTGCTTAAAGGGTAGCATTAGGGCACCGGGGAAGAATATGGAGGAGGAGGGCCACGGGGTAGTGGCAAGGGCAGTGCCAGGGTTTCTTTTACCGGAAGACGAAGTCGGCGCTGTTGATCTCCCTCCCGCAGCGGCTGTTCTTCAGGATGCCTCCGTTGCCCACCACAGCACACTTCTTAAACTGGGATCGGTAGTAGGGCATGTCCTGGGGGAGGCAAAGGCAAAGCTGTCAGAGCCAAGCCACCCCCTGCCTCCACCTGCGACTCTCACCTCTGCAAGCACACCTACCCCTGTTAGCTCCTGGCCCCAAGAGGCAGCCTTGTGGGGAACGTGGGAGGAAAGCGGCTTTCCACTTTACAGATGGGAAGAGTGATCAAGAGTCTTGTTACTATTAGATGGCCCCAAAGGCCACTCCCATCCCTGATGCCCAGGGCCTGCTGGGCAGCTTTCCTCCTGGCACACAGCAACTGGCAGTCCTGCACGAAATGGGCCAGGCCTGTAGCCTGTGCTTCAGGTGGGACCAGCAGCCAGGCGGGGTCTCGTGGAGAATCACGCTGCCCTGGGACCATCAGGAATCAAGCTAAAATTAAGGGGGACTTCTGTGGGAGACTGTCCTTATTCATGGTCCATTTTCTCTGGATGGACAGGCCCAGTGAGCCAAGACAGGGAAAACAGGGGCATCTCACAGCCAGTGGGTGAGTAAACTGCACTATTAGACTTGTACAAGAGAGGAAAAAAAAAAAAAAACCGTCAGGTTCAGAAAAATCATCAAAAGTTTATTATGTTCTATATGGGTGTTTCCTAAACTTCTGTAAGTTAAGAACTACCTGGGATACTTTCTGAAAATATAAATTTCTGGGCTCCATCCCAGCACCACAGAATCACAGTCTCACAGATAGGAGGCTGGGAAGCTGAATTTTTTACAAACACAAAGAGACACTTATATTTAGGGAAGTTCAGGAAATGTGATTCTATGTCACATTGCTTTAATTCAGGGACAAGCGAACTACATATAGCCCATGGGCCACATCTGGCTTACCGTCTGTTTTTGTGTAACTTGCAAGCCAGGAATGGATTTTATATTTTTAAGTGGTTGGAAACAACCCAAAGAAGAAACGATTTTGTGATACATGAAAACTATGTAAAATTCCAATTTCGGCATCTAATAAGATTGAAAGTGTTACTGGAACATAGCTACTCTCATTTGTTTACTCATGTCTGTGGCTGCTTTGTGCTAGAATGACAGAGGTGAGTAGCAGTGACAGAGAGACTATGAACTGCAAATCCTAAAACAGTTACTGCCTGGTGCGTTCTGGAGAATGTCTGGTGAGCACTGCTGTCTGTCCCTGGGCTTCAGTGGTCCATACCCCGGCTCTCCTTGGATCTGTATGTCATACTAAGTTTTGTTACACCCACTGGCATTACCTGCGTGAGATGCAAGTCACCTGCTGTCACCAGCCTCATGTTCCAGGCCTTGTAAGACCCACCTTGTAAAGGTTGCTCAATACCATCCTCCCTTAGGGCCACAGTGAGTGAGAACACATTTGACACTGCTCACCTTCAGCTCCTCCCCCACATCCCCAGAATGCATGAGTCTTACCTATACACTCTGGTACCAGTCACAGAATGCAGGGAACTCTGGGCTTTGTTTCACACTCAGCCAAGAAGCAAGGCAGCCAAGGCCTTCAGATTTCATCCAAAAAGACCTCCACATGCCCCTACTCAGAATTTCTATAAACTACATTCACTAAGTGCTGTCCCGGGCCCAGAGCTCTCCTGGATGTGGTTATGAACACACCCATGCAACCTTCCTCCTCTTCAGAGTCCATACGCCACCACACCTGGGTAATTGCCACAACTGGCTGAAAGTGCAGGTTCCAGCGCCCCTTCTCTGAGACTAGTGCAGTGAGTCTGCACCAACAGTCAGCCCAGGTGATTGCAGGTGCACAGCATCAGTGATCTGAACATTTCACATCTGTGGCTCACTCACTGCGGTTCTCAGTGGCCAAGGTCAGTGAACTAAACCATTCAGGTCTGTGGCTCACTCATTTTGTGGTCCTCCATGACCAGGGAGCCACCGTGCCAGCCCTGCACCGCCTACCTCCAGAACTCTTTTATGTGAAAGGAAAAAAATAAATATCTATCTTGATTAAGTCTCTGATATTTTAGATGTTCTGTTATAATCAGCCAAATCTATTCATAGTTCAAACCCCGGTGTTACAAATAAGAAGACTGAGGTTTTGAAAGACAAAATATCTGCCCATGGTCATCCAGGGAGCTGAACCTTTCAGAGTCTAGATCTGCACGGGGTGGTTCATTCTTGTGCTCACAACCTCTGCATGTGTTTTCGCTCGTGTGCCTACCTCAGGTAGGGGACAAATGTGTCGTCATTCTCTCCCATATCTGCAGGATATCCTCTGCAAGTAATGCAATACTCAGAATTTTCTAGTCACTTTCTCGCCAAAAGTCACTCAAATCATAGCCAGTTGGCATTCATGGTTCTCAGAACCCCCAAAGAAACCCAGAGGGTGGGCTACTGCACCTCAGACAACTGGTCAACCAGGACCAAGACGACTGAGTCCAGAGGACAGTGAGTGAACCATGAAAAACCCCAGGGACATTGCCACGGAGGGCTACAGGGCCCGGCTCCCTCGCCTCACCCAGACCGCCCCTGCCCAAAGCAGCACCTTGGGAAACATGCGGAAAATCTCCTGGTTGATGTGATAGATGCCGCTGGTGTCCACCTCATACTTGAGCTTTGTCCCCAGGGGAGTGTTCTTCTGGGTGGTGAAGAGAAAGGCAGGGGCGTTGCAGCACCTGGACAGAGTGGACCTGCCAGGCAGGGAGACAGGCGGGAAAGACATGATGCAGGGCAGAGCACAGCCTCAAGAAGAATAGAGGGGTGGAGCCGAGGCCTCTCCTGCCCACCCATCTCCACGCTCACCCCCACCGTGCATGGAGCCAAGGCCTCTCCTGCCCACTCATTCCCAGGCTCGCACCCACCCTGCACCTCTGCTCATGCTGTCCCCTCCCTTTTCAACGCCTCTCCCAAGGCCCCTGCCTTCTGCCACTCATTCAGGGCCCAGGCCAGGTTTCTTTCCATGAAGCCCCACCCAGCTGCCCCTGTCTGCACTGACAGAACTCCTCCATGGAGCCCAAGTCCTGGCCACTAACAGAGGGTGAGGAGGAGCTTTCCGAAGAGCTCCAAGCCAGGCCTGGCACGGAAACTTGGGTTGCAGTCCTGGTGTCAAGAGGCCCGGATTCTCGCTTCTGCTCTGCCCCGACCAGTTGTGAGGCTACTGGAAGGTGTCTCTCTCTCTGGGCCCTACTTTCTTCATGCAGGCTTGGCTCTTCTACCTCTAATCCTCTGTAACTTGTGATTGCAGCTTGCCAAAGCCAGGAAGGTTTTATAATCTTTTTTTTTTTTTTCTTTTTTTTTTTTTTTTTGAGACAGGGTCTTACTCTGTTGCCCAGGTTGGAGGGCAATGGTGCAATCTCTGCTCACTGCAATCTCCGCCTTCCGGGTTCAAGCGATTCTCCTGCCACAGCCTCCCAAGTAGCTGGGATTACAGGCATGCACCACCATGCCCAGCTAATTTTTTTTTTTTTTTTTTTTTAAGTAAAGTCAGGGTTTCTCCATGTTGGCCAGGCTGGTCTCGAACTCCTAACCTCAGGTGATCCACCTGCTTCAGCCTCTCAGCCTCCCAAAGTGCTGGGATTACAGGTGTGAACCACCATGCCCAGCCTATAATTTTTTATTATTATTATTTCATCTCTTGCAGGTACTTCACTGGGAAGCCCAGCTGGCTCCCAGTCACAGAGAGCAGAATTTCCTATAGAGAGCTGGGTTTCAGAATGTAACTTAAGGCTTCCTAGAGAGGAGGCCAAAGGCCTGGCAAGGCAGGGCCATGGGTTGGCATTACAAACCAGCATCTGGGCCTTTTAGCTTTGCTAGTTCAGAAGCTCAGTCTTGTCAGCCCACTGGAGAGCACTCCTATTGAGGGAGACTGACTCACACTAACCAAGCTCATGAGCGACTGATATACAAACCAGAATGTCAGCGTGCCTATTTGTAGGCAGCAGGGTGGGAGAAGGCCTCAGTTATAGGATTCCTTTCCTGTAACTGGAATGCTCATGCCTGCCTTCTAACACCCACCTGCCACTCCCTCATGGCACCAGGTTCCTGCCAGCCTGAATGAAGCATCTCATCGTTTCATGAGCTTGAAATGAGAGCAAAGGGAGGCAATGACCAGCCTAGAAGGTTTTCTCACTTAGAGCATGGCAAAGCCTGATGTCACTGCCTTTTCTCACACCTGAAACTGCTCCACACCCCTCATGCCCAGAGCTCCACCCCTGCACTGTGCTGTCTTGTCCCTGCCAAAGGCTCCCACACTCATCCCTGTTTTCCTCTTGCCACATGATTTCCCTGTTGCTTCATGTTTCCTGAGATATGTGAGTCCCACTGCTGAGACTTTTTTTTTTTTTTTTGAGATGGAGTCTCGCTCTGTTGCCCAGGCTGGAGTGCATTGGCGTGATCTCTGCTCACTGCAACCTCCACCTCCTGGGTTCAAGCAATTCTCCTGCCTCAGCCTCCCAAGTAGCTGGGACTATAGGCATGCACCAACACGCCTGGCTAATTTCTTTGTATTTTTAGTACAGACAGGGTTTCACCATGTTGGCCAGGCTGATCTCGAACTCCTGACCTCGTGATCCGCCCACCTTGGCCTCCCAAAGTGCTGGGATTATAGGCGTGAGCCACCACGCCTGGTCCATTGCTGAGACTTCTATTCTGTCCTAAGCCTGGACAACAGGCTTTTGCTTCTCACTGACCTGGTCCAGACTGAGTGTTTTATCAGCCATACTCTCAGTGTGCCAGGTCTCACTCGCCCCCAGGGGCACCTCTGTGCAGTGTGCACGGTAACGTTTCTAAGGGGCCAATTGGCAGCACAGATTATGGATCTATTCTCTACTCTCCCAGCACTTTGCTCAAGCTCATGTTCTGTTTTTTATGATAGGTGAGTCTCTGCAAACTACTGTCAGGCCTTTGCTGGGTCTTTGTAGTCTCTCAGAGGCCTCTGGCACCGGATCTTGAAGTGTTATCACTTTAAACATTCACATTTCTGAAAATGTGCCTCTTAAAACTACTACTCTACCTCTAGATTTCGTCTGGAGCTGCAGCAAATTGGAACAAACGATTTATAAAGAAAAAGCTTAGTCATCTTTGCTTTTCACAATCTCTCGTGCAGGACTCCTTCATGCTTAGAGCTCCTCAGTACATTTAAACTTGGACCTGAGTGCTGAAATCCAGCATAGACACAAATTGCCAGATCACATCAACTCCATAAAATAAAGTCTACCTGCACTAAAATAATCCCATAAGCTCACAGAATTTTAGAGATAGAGAAGACCCTAAAGTTTACTATCCATCAAAAAGAATTTTTGGACATCTGTTATGTGCTGAGTTCCCACAGGAGAACTTTAAGATCCAGCTCTTACCTCTCTGGGAGTTTATAATCTGCTCATTTTGGTTAGACAGCATTTATAAAATAATCTGCAGCAGGGCTCAAATGTCTCGTGGAGGCTGGAAGAACTCAAGCGCTCTGAGAAGGAGAGAAGTCACTGGGCCAGAGTGGCTGCCCCAGGACAGGGGAGGTGAGGACTAGGAGGCCATAGAGAATGCATAATGCGCCTTCACACAGGCCTGCCAGAGACCACCGGCACATGCTTCCCTGCTAATAGCCTCAGTGAACCTCAGCTGTGTACTGGAGATGGCACCACCAACCTCGCAAGGCTGCTGCAAGGACTGAGGGAGAGAAGGTGGAAGATGGCACCTGGGCAAGGTGCCCGCCTCAGCCTGCATGTTGAATCAGTCCCCCACACTGCTCAGATTCCTCAGCCCAGTCAGGGCCTGCTCTAGGGAAGATGCCCACTGAGAGCTGGGCCTTGCAGGACGACGGAGACTGGAAGAGGTGGCAGTGAGGAGAACTATACAAGGAGAAGGGAGGACAGACGAATCATAGATACTTGAACTGGTTGGCCTCAGAGATGTTCATCGCCCATTTGCACATCTGGAGGCTCTTCCACCTGTCGAACAGCTCTGACTGCTTCACCCTTGGGAGTAGAGGACAGAAGAGCACATGAGCGGGGCAGGTAGGACAGAGTGCGATCATTCCCAGAAATGCTCCCTCCTGATCTCCCACAGCCGAGTCCAGTTCCAGGGCTGGCCCTTGGCATTGACCATGTTTTCTTTTCTTTTCTTTTTTTTTTTTTTTTTTTTTGAGACAGGGTCTTACTCTGTCATTCAGGCCAGAGTGCAATCATGCATTCTCAGCTCACTGCAACCTCCACCTCTGGGGTTCAAGTGATTCTCGTGCCTCAGCCTACCAAGTAGCTGGGACTACAGGTGCGCCACCACGCCTATCTAATTTTTGTACTTTCTGGTAGCAATGGGGTTTCACCATGTTGGCCTGGCTGGTTTCGAACTCCTGACCTCAAGAGATCATCCCGCCTCAGTCTCCCAAAGTGCTGGGATTACAGGTGTGAGCCACCGTGCCCAGCTGGTATTTTCTTATTTTCTGTATTTCTGATGCTCTGGCACCTGGTGCCTTGCTAATACCTAGTCAGCAAACAACTGTCCTGCAAGCATGCCTTTCATGTGCAAACCAACCAATCAGAGCCCACACCCTCAACCACCTCCTCATTGACAGGACACCATCCCCCTCCTCGCACCCCCTACCCTAACCATCCCAGGGCCAGGTATCAGAAAACCAGAGGCAGTCCCTATGCCTCAGAGCCTGCCAGAATTATTCACACTAGCCAATCCTAAACCTGGCTACCCTGCCGACACTGCCTTGTCCATTCCTTCCCGCGAAAACCTCAATAGTCTCACCCACGCTTTCCCCTCACTGCTGCCTCCTGACTGGCCCTGGGGCTGCCCTGCAGGGCGTGCCTCCTGTTTCTATGGCTCTGTGAGTATAACGTCTTACTTCATGATGGTCATTTTCATATCCGCGTGTCCTACCATACCTGATTAAAACAAATCCCAGAAACACTTTGAAACCTTCTTCCTCACATGCCCACCCCCGAGGGCCTGCATAGTTCTCTTGAGAACATCTGTCTATAAAGGGAGTCAGACCCCAGTGGAACACCCATCAAACACCCACACAGTTCAGCACTCAGTAGGGCTCATGAGCAGGGTATGCCCTTCTCTTTCTCCCTTCTCAAGGGCAGATCACGGTTTCCAAATGACAGAAAAGATGAGATGAGAAACCTGAGACTGCCCCTTCTCCCTGAACAACCCTCCACCAGGCTTTATGCTGATTGGCACTTAAACATCTCAGCATCATGACATTCTAAAGCACTCTCAGGAAAGGGAATGTCTAAACCACATAGCATTCTCCCTTTGACCGAAACCTGCAAAAAGAACTCATTTTTAACTTACACATTTACATTGACTTATTTATAATTATGCATACATATAATTGTTTCAGTGCTGTATCCCCAGCTTCTAGAACAGTGCTTAGCAAAATATAGATACTCGATAAATATTTATTAAGTGAACGACTGAGCCAAATCAAAAATACAAATTTCCACAAACACTGAGCAACCAATATGAGATCCTCATGCACATTAACCTCAAATAGTCGCTCACCCTTCTCGTCGGTTTCTCTCCTCTTTCAGCAGTGCCTAATCTCAGAGCCATGTCCACATTCCCAAGCCCTCTCTGCCACAGATACGCTTTAGCATCTCTGTTACCTACCCCTATCTTTAGTTACCCCTTCCCCATTTCAGTTAAGGAATTGTTCCTTGCATCCTACCCAATTCCTTCCTCCTTTAACTCACTGTTGGTTTCGCGGGTAATTCTCCTATTCTACAGAAATGTCCAGAATTCTCTAGGATCCCTGCCATTGAAGATTCCAGTGAGGCTCTGGCCTGGTGAGAGTCGTGAGATCCAGAAAGATCCAGGAGGCTCCCCAAGCCAGGCCAGCACCCACTCCTTCTTAAGTAATTGATCACAAGACCCATTATACAACTGGGCGAGCCCTTCCTGATGAACTCTAGATCTTCGGCAAAGAATTATGCACCTTTTTTTTTTTTTAAGGGGATCCTATGGTCAAATACAGTTGGGGAAAGCTGAGCTAAATAAAGTTAAATGCTTTTCTTTACTGCAAGACATCTCAGATACCTTAATATGTTCTCATATATTGTGAATTTCCAAGAAAAGTATTGGATCATGGGATCCTTTTTCCATTGAGTAGTTCGAAAGATTGTAATTCCACAGTAAAACTGTGAAAAGTAGACAGATCATACACTCCTTAAAGACAGCACCATGATTTAGCTCTCTTGATCATGCACAGTCCCCACTTCAGGGCCAGGCATTCTGTAGTTGTTTGGGGTCACCTGGCTGTGGACCACTAAGAAGCTCGTTAGTCTTGGGTGCTGGTGCAGAGAGGAGCCCTTCAAAGGAAGCTGTCCTGGTTTGATCATAAATGGGAACACTCAGTCTTTAGGAGCTGAGTGTTACCAAGAAACTACTATCACTATGGCTCTTACCCTGGGGTGCAATGAAGGGCTAAAGGAAGTGCCTGTACCCTCTGATTTTGTTATAGGCAAAATCCATGTCTATCCACCCATGTGCATATCTTTGGGGAGAATCTGAAGCTTTCTTCAGGTTCCTACAGGGGTCCATTATTTTTAAAAAAAAAAGCAAATACCCACTTTAAAAACCCTTTTTAGGCTGGGAGCAGTGGCTCACACCTGTAATCCCAGCATTTTGGGGGGCCAAGGCAGGCAGATCACCCGAGGTCAGGAGTTTGAGACTAGCCTGGCCAACATGGTGAAACCCTGTCTCCACTAAAAATACAAAAATTAGCCGGGCATGGCGGTGCGCGCCTGTAATCCCAGCTAGTCAGGAGGCTGAGGCAGGAGAATCGCTTGAACCCAGAAGGCGGAAGTTGCAGTGAGCCGAGATTGTGCTATTGCACTCCAGCCTGGGTGACAGAGCAAGACTCCATCTCAAAAGAAAAAAAAAAAAAAAAAAACCCTTTTTTAAAAAAGGGTTCATTTTGCAGAGGCGAGTCCCTGTGTTTAATCAGAGGTGTCTTCAAACAAGGCAAGCCTCCCCTACGGGAAGAATACATGGCTGGTGGGGCAGGGGTGATTGCAGGAAAAGTCGTGGAAAATAGTAACTAAATACATGGATTTTGGAACTAGTGGGACTTGGGCTAAGACCCAAGTCTTAGTTCCGATACCTGCTAACTATGAGGCCTCAGGCTGGTTATTTAACCTCTCTGAGCCTCAGTTTTCTCATTTATAAAATGGGTGTAATAATAGTCTCTTGCCCTCCCAGATTTGTTAAAATAATGAAATAAGATGATGTGATAAAAGACTAGGCACGGCACCTGACACACAGAAACATCCAGTAAGTATAAGTTATTACTATTGTTAAACTGAACTGCCTTGACTATGCTCACTCACAGCCCCCTATACTTTCCACTTTTGTAAAATCCATGAACTATCATGACTGCTGATCTTCCCCACTAGACAGTAAATACCATGGGGGCAGGGGATCAAGCCTGCACTCATCACTGTAACTCAAGTGCTAAGGCACATAGCAGATGCATGGTAAATATTTGTTGAGTATACCAATAAGTTAATGAATTAATTGAAACATCTGAGTTCAAATCAAGTCTCACTATTTGTTGAGTATCTCAATATGGCAGGAACTAGAAATACAGTAGCGAACAAAACAGCCCCTTGGTTCCATGGAGCTTACATACCAGATGGGGAGGAAAATGGAAAATAAATAAATAATGCCTTGCCAAGAAGTGGCAAGTGCTGGGAAGGAAAGTGAAGCAAGGTAAATGGACGGGGAAGTGACTGTTTCAGATTGAGTGATCAGGGAAGGCTTTCCTGAGGAGGAGAACCTTGCACAGAGACCTGAAATGACACAGGAGCGAGCTGTGCAAATATCTGGGAAAAGTGTATTCCAGGCAGAGAGAAGAGTGAGTGCAAAGGCCCTGTTACAGGAACCAGCTTGGCAGCGTTCCTCCTCCCACCCTGGCTGACAGAAGGCAAACCTTCCTTCCAGCTTTCCCAAACCTCCCCTCTCAGGAGCTCACAGGGTATGAGGGAGTGGTGCCATCATACAGCAACACCCTGGCTCACCCACTGCCCCCTGCCCCTCCCCACTCTCTGCAACCCACAGGCCCCTAGAGCAGCCCCCTATATGGCCACTGCTTCAAATGCCTTCTGGAAACACAGTCCTGGCAACACTCTAGGTGGGGTTCCAAGTTTTACTGTTACCAGTGTCTGGGCCCTACTCTCTCTGCCTCCAATGCCCTCATCACACCCTGGACCAAGGTCAGGGCCTGGACACCCAGTCTTGAATCCTGGCTCCATCCCAATCTTGCAATGTAACCTCGGGCAAGTCATTTAATTTCTCTGAGACTCAGCTGCTTTTTCTGTAAGATGGATATAACGGCTGGCTGCTGCCCTTCCAATCTCAAAGGTTGTCAGAGAGCTCAAATGGAATAATACGTGTAAAAAGATTTTACAAATTGCTTTACAAATGCAGAGATCATCTTTACTTTAAAGATGAAGGGTTGACCCTAGGCACTTCTTTCCTTTCTCCCAAGACACCACTAACATTCCAGAAGAGGAATAAAAAAAGGTACAAGCCCATAGATGACTAGAATGACAGGGAAGGGCATCTCAGTGGAAGAGAAATTTCAACAAGTGTATGGAAGTACGAGGGAGTGGCACAAGGATAGGATGACACAGCCCAAAGTACCTAGAGCCAATCTGCACATGGAAAATTCTAAGAGGTGGGTGGAGGATGGGGAGGGAGCATAGCCCTAAAAATGAGACTCAGTTGTGAGTCTGTAAGCAGAGCCATCAAGCCTACACTCCCCCTACCCCACCAAAAACCACGGTAGCCAAATGCTTAATGTCCAGCAGAGGAGGAGGAGAGATGGAATCAGACTATGAGATCCTCTGTTAAAAGAAAAAAAAAAAAAGTTATCATTTGCAGTTAAAAGATCTGGCTGTTCTAGCAACAAAAGGGCCAGGAGCATCGTGAACAACTTCAGACACAGAACTCCTATCAGTTT